GAGAGAGAGATAGATAGATAGATAGATAGATAGATAGATAGATAGATAGATAGATAGATAGATAGATAGATAGATAGATAGATAAATAGATATGATATAGCGTTTTTATAGGGGAAGTCGTTCTGTGATGAATTGACAAATAAACAAGTTCTTTGACTACTCCACTTTCGGGTGATAAACTCAGACCTCGTGTCGTAATAGCTGTCGAATTTGAGTAGACATTTATACCTTCAAAAATTCAAGTCACGATGGGGAGGGGAAAAAAATCGTCTGTGACTGTTGACACAACGTGACACATATTATGCAAAATGTCCTGAAATAGATTGCAAGGATCTATAAAGAATTATTACAATAACATTACAAATGTGAGCTTTGATTTTTTTTTCCATGTGGGAGAAAAAGAAAAGTAATGTTAAATGCATATTTGTATTACTTACTAAATGCGAATATTGGAAGAAAAGAGTTGTTAGCTGTTGAGTCACTTATAAATACCTTAACATAATATTTGTTTTGTCATGTAAAGAGAACAGGCGTTACAAAGTGCGCTGAATAGAAAGTAATGGTATCAAGAAGAGAGTGTTTCATCATATAGAAATGAAGCCGTTCGCAAACTATTTAAATGTTTCGAGCTCAGAAAGCAAAATTTCCAGGAGAGAGAAAAAAACACCAAAGACAAACCCCGTTTTAATCCCTTTAAAAAATTGTACTAGCATTATGTATGTTTCCTTACTTTATCCAACATAATTTGAAATTTGAATTTGGACAAAATAAATCTCGAGCATAGTTCGCAACTATGATGACGATTTTCACGCTTTTTTGGCGTGCTGAGGATAAAGGTGGTGTAGTGGTACATTTAGAAACAAAATTATTTTAGTGAAGGTGTTTTTATACCCCCATCGATACAATGTACTGTGTAGATCGCCCAGTATGGAGATTCGACCGATACTCGATTAAAATTACTTTTTTCCCACTTGGGGAATCAAAGGCCGGTCTCCTGTGGGCGATAACGAACCGCTCACATACCACAATACAGACGCCTGTAGGATAAAGTAAAGGTAGAATAGCCTTGCATTCTTTTGAGATGGCCTCATACGTTACTAGATGCCGAAAAACCGCATCGTGTCAACAGGCAGGTCAGTGCGTGGGTCAACTTTCTAAAAATAACCATGGCAACGAGGATATGATGTTGGGGTTTCCCAAACAAATGTGGGCATACCTGTGACCTGGGTGCCGCGGCATACCGTCGCCGGAATGACGTCACCATTATATTATATCTGCGTCATTGTTGGCAACGTCATCAGCGTTATAAGAGAAGCGCTACCCACACCCTCCCCCCTTCCACTGTCCCACAACCTTACCACCACCCGCTCCATTAAAACAACCCACTTCTGCGCGTTTTCTTTTCCTTGAAACACTTTCACAAACACAAACACGTGCACAAACACACATACACACACACACACACACACACTCACACACACACACACACACACTCGCACACACAGGCACACGTATACAAACAAACATACACACACACGCGCGCGCGCACACACACAGAGAGAGAGAGAGAGAGAGAGAGAGAGAGAGAGAGAGAGAGAGAGAGAGAGAGAGAGAGAGACGGATCATATTTGTACTTATTCTTTTACAGTTTGCAGAACTTTACGAAATGTTTGGTGAGGATAAAATAATTCCTTTCTTACTGAACAGGAAATATAATAATTAAAATATACACACAACAGAAGAGTTTGGGATCGTTTACTTTGAAATAAAGTGTTTTAACCCTCCTCCCCCTTCTCTCTCTCTCTCTCTCTCTCTCTCTCTCTCTCT